TGTGAAACACAAGCGAAGACGCTATGCAAATAAATAATGGTTTACCTCTACAGAATGCAACTGCACGTGTGTTGTTGAGTTTTTACTACCGATGCATGTAACAAGCGTTCTTATTAAAGGAAAATTATGCAAGCTTATTCATAGGCCCCGCCAATAGCACCAGTGGTTTTGAATTAACATGGTACTTGTACATACCTTCATGTTTTGTTTCCTTGGCTTCATTGTTTGAATTATTCTCAAAAGATTTGCCACAAATGACTCCTGATATTGAGGAAACATGTTCAAAAATAACAGTGATGTTCAAAAGCACAATATCTACTACTTAGCATAATGTTGGCTCACTTGCAACAATTTTACAATGCTCAGTGAAAATAACAATGCCTATAGTAACTATAAAATCTGACGTAATTGATTGTCTGGGCACAAAGTGGATAAGGATGTCAGTTTCTTGCCCTAACACTAGCAGCGCAAGTCATCAGTTAGTTGCATTTTGAGGAATGCTGGACCAGAACAGCCTTACATTTTGATAGTTACGATAGGTTGCATATGTGTACAAAGTCTTATCATTCTGGGTGTTGGCATTAACTAGTTAGCACATTTATTGGTCTATATCATAATGAATGGCCTGGGGTTATTTTTTGGTTTTTTTGTTCTTTACATGTAAACAACATTGTTTACAAACAAATTAAAATGCTCTTGCATGCCAGGTCACAGATTACAAACTTTGTGCAAAGTTCATGTCCTGGTTTTTGAGATACGCTTGTCTACAACAAGAAGAATTTTGAAAACTAACTTTTTTTTACCAATTAGTATGCGATTTAAGCCATTTCTTAGGTACACACTCTCTTTGACGATAGAGATCAGACTGATATGTCAGAAATTGGATCTGATTGAAACTGAAAGTGAAATGTATAAAATGGGCATAATGCAGGACAAACTGTGTCATCCCTATATACTACAAGTAAATCAAAAACCCTACGAAAAGAGGCATATACAGATGGTATAAAGAGAAAGGGAGACAAGATAGGGATGGGATACATGAAGCATGGTTAATGAACAGATTTGAGCACGCCGACTCCCCCAACCCCATCACACGATCCCTACATTGTTGCCTGGTGTGCTACTCTTATGGAATGTGGCATTATAAAAGGGCTAAAGGTTAACTTTCTTTCACCGCTTGGTAACATTTCTACTTTTATACTGCCACAGTCCCTTTAATTAAACTCCACTTGGGCTCTATATGGTGTTGGTTACTCAGTAGCATGACTTTTTTCTATTACAAGTTCTGAGTATTGTAATGGTGAATGTTTAGTACTTCACCTAGGCAACAATATAGGGATTGTGTGTTAATTTACTTGTCTCCACTCATTTTACTACTATACTACGTATTATTTCTCTGTGAAAGGGGGAAAGCCCCTATATATGCATGTGTACCAAGTTTCATCTCCATGAGTGCTGCCGTTAGCAAGTTTGAGGAGAGAAGAAGTAGTTTAAAGAAAAGTGCCTGAGGCTATTTGTTGTTGTGGTTGTCATTGAAACAATGTAATACACATGCGCACCAAGTTTCACCTCCATGCGTGCTACAGTTAGCAAGTTTGAGGAAGTAGTTTTAAAGAAAATTGCCTGAGGCTTTTTCAAACAATACGCGGTCGTCATGGAAACATGTAATCGTCATGGAAATGATATAATAGGGATACATACCAAGTTTCATCTCTATGCGTGCTATCATTGCAAAGTTTGAGAAGTGAAGAAGTGAAAAGCTCTCTCTTACCAATTGTGAGTTACACTGACACATGTAGTACGTCCATTATAATGTATTGCCTGCGGCAAATTTGTTGTTGTTTACACTGAACAACATTGTTTACAACAAATAATTGCCCACAGTCTCTTCGCATTATAGATATCTACGTTCCTACAAAGTTCCATGCCCATACGTCATTTCGTTTTTGAGGAGTTCGCCTTGAAGAAGAAGAAGATGAACAAAACTCCCTATCGTAGCCCCCATACATCTATGATGCTAGGTACCATGCCCATCCCTATCACTAAGTACGGTAGTACTTAGTATATAGGGATGACACAGGTCATCCTGCATTATGCCCATACATTTGAGATTTTCATGTTTCCCTTTCAGTTTCAATAATGTCCAACTTTTGACACATCAGACTGATCCGTATCGTCACAAAGAGCATGTATATCCAAGAAATGGCTTAAACCGCATAATCGGTACTTGATTTATTCAAGAAAGTTACTTTTCAAAATTCTTCTCGTTGTTGTTGTTGTTGTTCAGTTTAGACAGACATAACTCAAAAACCACTTAAGATATGGAGATGAAACTTTGCACAAAGATTGGAATCCATGACAGGTCGTGCAAGAGCATTTTTATTTAGCCCCAGGCAATACATTATGATACACACAAATAAACTGTGCTAACTAGGTAAAGCTAACACCTAGAGTGATAAAACTTTACACACATATACAACCCATCATTAGTAACAACATTTAAACTTTACAAGTTTGTACACCACAACAAACAGCCTCAGGCAATTAAAACTTGTAAAATGTGTTGGTGACTATAACTTGCTTATGATGGGTCCAATAACAATGAAACTTGGTACACTTATGTACCATGATAGAGTTCATCGAAACAGAAATTACATTTGTAAACAACAACAAACAGCCTCAGGCAATAAATACTTGTAAATGATGTTTGGGCCTCTAACTTCCTTCTGGTGGATCATCTAACAATGAAACTTGGTACACTGATGTACCCTGATAAGAGTTCATCGAAACAGAAATTACAAGCTTGTAAACAACAACAAAGCCCTAGGCAATAACAAAACTTGTAAATGGTGTTTATGCCTATAAATTACTTGTGGTTGGTCCTCTAACAATGAAACTAGGTACAATGATTCACCATGATAAAGAGTTCACCAAAACAGAAAATACAAGGTTGTAAACAACAACAAAGAGCCTCAGGCAAAAAACACTTTTTAAATGGTGTCGCTACCTTAACTTGCTTATGATGGGTCCCCTCACAATGAAACTTGGTGCACTGATGTAATGTCAATGACTAATGTTACTTTTTTATGGGCTTATGCCCAAAAATATTATAATTATGCACACCATGCATGTGAATGCAGTAAAAAAACAAAAGGAGACAAGTAAATAAAAAATTCTTTGAATTAAAAAAGTGTGGACTATAGGGATGCCACAAAAAGTAAGGAGACAAGACAGGGATGACATTGTGAACATGATTTGCAGTAGTAAATGGATGATGGCTACATACTTTGAACTGACATCGCTTGCTCGTGTAAAATTTCCTCCACACAAGCCCTATATTATCGCTACCTTCACTGTTTGTTTAGTGAAGTGCGAGGACAAGTGAAGTACGAGGGCAATGGTGAAAGGATTCTGTCTGTAGATGGCCAAGAACACAGCATTGTAAAACTGGTTAGTTGAGCAAATGTAGAAGTCAAAGACTTCACACAATGCAGTCACAACTGAAAACCGAGTAGATGGTATTATCTGTTAAATGTGCTTATTCATAAATGTACATCGTATATACAAGGGAGCACACTCGTACTTCGCGACAATATAGGGCTTGTGTGGAGGAAATTTTACACGAGCAAACGATGTCAGTTCAAAGTATGTAGCCATCATCCATTTACTACTGCATCATGTTCACTAGGTCATCCCTGTCTTGTCACCTTACTTTTTATGTCATCCCTATATTCCACACTTTATTAATTTTTTTTCTTGTATACTAAGTACTACCGTACTTAGTGATATACCGTACTAAGCGATAATTAAGTCTCATGCTAGAGCAAGAAAGGTTATTCCATTTATACTACACATCAAAGGGTGCATTACCTACAAAAGGCTAATGGCAAGAACATACCCAGAGGTCAACTACAGAGTAGTCAAGCGACTCAGAACTAATCTGCAAAGCACACCATAAGACTTTAGGCATACTTGGTTTGGTCAAGGGACATATGTATACGTAGCTAAAAGAAAATGTTTGCAATGCCAAGGGTTAACAACAAATAGCCATCAGATCATTTTATAGCTTAACCAATACCCACAGGAAAGTCAGTTCCATTCTTCATCAACACACTCTTTACTTAACTTCTCCAACGTTTTATTCTTTTGAGCAACTGAAATTATATCTTTCTACCCTTGGGGAGGTATAAGCCATAGCTTGAGAGGTGAGAATAAAGGGTTAATGAAAAGCACTAAAGTGCAAACCCTCAGCGAACTGCACATGCGCGGTACCGCTAATTGATGGGCTGGGCTATTAGTGTGCGTTTACTCGCGGTCTCCCGCTAGTAGCTTGCAGAGAGTCTGACACGGACTAGCTACAGTAATAGATATCATGCGAGAGTCGATACATGCCATTCGTTGTGACTTCTTGTGCATTCAAGATACACAAGCGGACCCGGTCGAGGTAAGCCTGTGCTAACTATAAGCGCATGCGCATTTTCCGGAGCGATAAAATGGCGTCTACCGGCATTAGCGGTACAATGCTGGATGCGCTCTAGCTTTGCAACGGAGCATTTTCAGAGAAAACCGTTTCGAAAATTCTGACCTTCATTGTCCGTTAAGTAAACCGTGTCCTTTGTGAGACGAGCAAACACTCGAGAGGTGAGATGGAGAGTAACAGACAGACACACAGACAGACCCAACTACTGTAACCCTCGCTGCGCATGCGCGCCGAGGGTTAATGACTGGGAAATGCTATTCTGTGGTGAAACTACCACATTTAACACACCAGGCAACAATGTAAGGATCGTGTGATGGGATAAGGGGTATTCGTGTGCTCACTGCTTCACATTATATCCCATCAATCTTGTCTCCCGATTCCGCAGAATCTTAAAAAAAGGACTACTATGACAATCAAAAGTGTTGTGTCATTAGAAAATAGAGGGTTAGAGCACCAACCCTTATCATTTGTCCCTTTTTAGATATCACCTCAACCTACTGGAAAGTCAGCTCCATTTTTAATCAACGCACTCCTGAACTTCTCCAACGTTTTATTCTTTTCAGCAAGTGAAATTATAAACTCTGCCAGATCCTTTTCTCCAACCCCCAAATGATTCTCCAATTCTGTGCACACTTTAGATACAAGTGACAGCTCCTCCAGTCGAAATAAGTCACCATCCATGTCTTTTGATGTGGCCACTGAGTGTCTAGAAAGTGGGCCACGGACTGTCTAGCAAGCGCCAAGTCAAGTGACGGCTTGCCCACCAGGGACAGGAATAGCTCGGTCGGCGACTACCGATCGATTAGTCTCGTACCCAGCCGTTCCAACAACAGGGAAAGGTAGCCTCGTTCCCAGGCTCTCCCTCTCCGCGGACACGTTCGCGCTGAGAATTCACCTAGAATAACGTCCGATTCCAGCACCGTATGCGGCCACCCTTGGTACCAAAATGTAGCGCTTCACACTCCGGTTCGTTCAGCGCTTACCCCGTTCAAATAGTTCGTGCGCTACGCACGTACATTTCTACGCATGCTTGAGAATAGTACCATAGGCGAGGCACAGAACGGTTGTTATCTGGTCTAGAAGGCCTAAAAAACTAAAATTTGGACAACGCTGCCCTCCTCATTTTTTACAAGCCCTGCGAATTTATAAAAGAGGCATAATTATAGGGATGGTATAAAAAGAAAGGGAGACAAGATAGGGATGGGATACATGAAGCATGGTTAATGAACATATTTGAGTACGCTGACCCCATCACACAATCCCATTATTGTTAGGGGCTAAAGGTTACTAAAAGCAAGCATTCTTTCACCTTGTCCCTGTTGTTTTCAGTAACATTTATACTGCCACATTCCCTTTAATTCAACTCCACTTGGACTTTTTAAGGGTGTTGGTAACTCAGTAGTGTATTGTAATGGTGAATGTTTAATACATGGGGTTGGGGGTGTCAGCGTATTCATATCTGTTCATTAACCATGCTTCATGTATCCCATCCCTATCTTGTCTCCCTTTCTTTTTATACCGTCCCTATTTGCCTCTTTTTTTAAATTCGCAGGATTTTTAAGTTACTTGTCTCCACTCATTTTTATATACTACTACGTATTATCTCTGTGGAAGGGGGCAAGCCCCTATAACAATTAATAATAGTATACTATGTAACAGCCAATACATTTGATCCATAGAGAATTTAACTATTTCACCGTAATACCCTTGGAAAATTGAAATACCCCCCGAAAATTTAAATTCCCCAGAAAATCGACCAATCAAATCAAGTGACTAGGAAATCAATGTGAAATACTTCATACAAGTTACAGTTCCAGAAACAAGTGTCGCGAAAGATCTTGTGAGACTATGAGCTAATCTATATAACACACTGATCGCTATACACAGCACTATACTATTAACATGTGATAGTGCAGTTTGGTGTGGTATTAGGGGATTAATAGTGATGGAATTTTAAAAAATAGTATTCGGCTTCGCCTCATACTATTTTGAAAAATTCCATCACTATTTATCCCTAATACCACACCAAACTGCACTATTACCTATACTAATAGAGAAAAATGCCTGTTGTCGTCATGGAAATGATATGCATACCATGTTTTATCTCCATGTGTGCTGCCGTTAGCTCCGGAGGGTTTGGACGTTTGTATGCTCGCGTGGGGTGTTTGTCATCTCTGCTCGTTTTTTTAACGGCCTCCTGAGCGCAACAAGTGTTGATGGCTTTGTCCAGAAGCAAGTTTGAGGAGTGAAGAAGTAATTTCAAATCCATCATGATTACATGTTTCCATGACGACCGCATATTGTTTGAAAAAGCCTCAGGCAATACTACTTCTTCACTCCTCAAACTTTCTAACTGTAGCACGCATGGAGGTGAAACCTGGTGCGCATGTGTATTACATCATTTCCATGACGACCACAACAACAAATAGCACTTTTCTTTAAAATTACTTCTTCACTCCTCAAACTTTCTAACTGTAGCACGCATGGAGGTGAAACTTGGTGCCTATGTGTATTACATCATTTCCATGACGACCACAACAACAAATAGCACTTTTCTTTAAAATTACTTCTTCACTCCTCAAACTTGCTAACGGTACCACCAATGGAGATGAAACTTGGTACGCACATGTTTCCATGACGACCACAACAACAAATAGCCTCAGGCACTTTTCTTTAAAATTACTTCTTCACTCCTCAAACTTTCTAACTGTAGCACGCATGGAGGTGAAACTTGGTGCGCATGTGTATTACATCATTTCCATGACGACCACAACAACAAATAGCACTTTTCTTTAAAATTACTTCTTCACTCCTCAAACTTGCTAACGGTACCACCAATGGAGATGAAACTTGGTACGCACATGTTTCCATGATGACCACAACAACAAATAGCCTCAGGCACTTTTCTTTAAAATTACTTCTTCACTCCTCAAACTTGCTAACGGCAGCACACATGGAGATGAAACATGGTATGCATATCATTTCCATGACGACAACAGCATTTTTTCTCTCTATTATTAATTTTTTATAGGGGCTTGCCCCTTCCACAGAGATAATACGTAGTAGTATATAAAAATGAGTGGAGATGAGTAAATTAAAAATCCTGCGAATTTAAAAAAAGAGGCATATAGGGATGGTATAGGGATGGGATACATGAAGCATGGTTAATGAACAGATTTGAGTTCGCTGACACCCCCAACCCCATCACACAATCCCTATATTGTTTCCTAGGTGAAGTATTAAACATTCACCATTACAATACTCAGAACTTACAATACACTACTGAGTAACCAACACCCTTATAAAGTCCAAGTGGAGTTGAATTAAAGATTAAAGGAAATGTGGCAGTATAAATGTTACTAAAAACGACAGAGACACGGTGAAAGAATGCTTGCTTTTAGTAACCTTTATCCCCTATAAGAGTAGCACACCAGGCAACAATACAGGGATTGTGTGATGGGGTGGGGGGGTGTCAGTGTACTAAAATCTTTCTTAACCATGCTTCATGTATCCCATCCCTATCATGTCTCCCTTTCTTTTTATACCATCCCTATATGCCTCTTTTTTTATATTCGCAGGATTTTTGTATACTAAGTACTACCGTACTTAGTGATTACCCTAGGCGCGCATGCGCAGTGAGGGTACGGTTGTGTGTGTGTCTGTTACTCTACATCTCACTTGGAGGATACGACCTACTTAACGGGCAATGAAGGTCAGAAATAGAGAACGTTTTTTTATGAAAATACTCTGTTGCAAAGCTAGAACGTTTCCAGCGTTGTACGTCTAATGCCGGTAGTCGCCATTTTATCGCTGCGGAAAATGCGCATGCGGTTAATACCGCGTGCGACAGCTGCCATCCAGCACTCAGCTCCTCGATCGCATGAAAGACACTGCTCGGACAGCTGCGGAGTGCGCAGCGGAGAAGCGTCTACCGGCGCCAGTGAAGGTCGAACCTTGCGGCCAGACGCAGACGAGTTTGTACCGACACATACAGGGGCAACGGACGAATCTGCAGAGGAACGACGTGGAGCCGGAGGGGAGGCCGGACAAGTTTTATCGTCGTCGATGCCGCAGCAGGGACTCGTACCATACGACTGACACCGTACGAAGGCCATGCTGCCTGGGACGCGTACAAAACTCAGTTTGCTTTGCTTGCTGGTTTGAACGGCTGGAGTGATGCCGAGAAAGCTACCTACCTCGCCATTAACCTGAAGGGGTCAGCACTTACAGTACTCAGCAACCTAGCTACCCGAACACAGCAGACGCGACTACGGAGCACTGACGGCCGCCCTAGACGCACGATTCTGGTGAGCTCCCATCGTCGTTGAGACCCTTGGAGGCTGGAGCCCGGACTCCATCGCTCAGATAGCCAGGATTGGCCGGCTGGCCGGTCAAAGGCTTGGTACTCTTCCTGCCACTGCTATCAAACATCTGTTCCAGCGCCTTTCTATCATCCTCTGGAAAGGGAATGCCACCCTGTGGTCTAGCCGCCTACCCCTTCACTCAGCCTGGGTGGATGGGAGCATCTAACTCCTATGTTTGTGTGTTTGTTTGTGTATGTGTGTATTTCATGTGCATTGCGTATGGTTTTGTTTTTTGTTTTTTGCTTTGTAATGAATGGTCTGCGGACTTAGAAAAAAAGCTGAATAGTGAATAGCGTACAGCTACGCAACCGTCGACGGCGACGCGACGAAGGATTGCCCGAGTTGGCCGAGGACGTAGAGCGACTGGCAAGACTCGTGTATCGTGGAGCAGATGCTGCGGTGCTTGAAGTACTAGCCAAGGATCAATTTATCGATGCCCTCCCACAGGAAGACATGCGACTTCGCCTTCACCAGATGCGTCATCATCCCTCAGAGAGGCTCTGCAACACGCATTGGAGCTGGAATCATTCATGCTGGCGGGCCAACAGTCAAGCCGATCGGTGAGAGGGACTCATCTCCAGGACAACATGCTGGGTTCTACCACTCCAACACGTGGTGCTCGTGAGCTACAGACCAAAGGTGGGGAGGAAATTCTGAAAAGTATGCAAGAATGTCTGAAAGTAATGCAAGAGTGTGCTAAGGGCTTAGAGAGAAGAAAGACCACCCTAGGCCAGTAAAGGGACCTAGGGAGAGCGTTGTTTGTTGGGGATGCCAACAGAGAGGGGCACATCGTAGAAATTGTACAAACAACCCCAGTTGTGGAAGAGGAAAGACCAACCCATCTGCATCCCAGAACCAGGGAAACGGCCAGTAGCCGGCCTTACAGGGCAATGACCGGCTACTGACAATCACAATGGCCCAGATGTTTTATTCAAGACAGGTTCTGTGCATAGCAGTCACGACGGCTTGGTATTGGCTGGAACGGTTGCTGGACAATCTTGCAACATTACTGTGGAGACAGGGAGCAACATATCCATTGTGCGACCAGACATGCTGAACAAGACCACAAGGGATTCCTTGGAAAAAGTAGTCAGATGTTGCGCACAGTCACTGGAGAGATGGCACCTATTCACGGCTGAGGTGAACACTCAATTTGTATTGGAGGGCTAACTCTACCACACAAGATATGAGTAGCAGAAATCACCAACTAGTTCATTCTAGGCCTCGACTTCCATGGCTGCCAAGTGAATCTTAGAGAGAATGTGCTGGCTATTGGTAATGAAGAACTACCTATCAGCAAGCCTGTCCGGGGTGTCAGCTTGACCTGTTGTCGGATAATAGCCAAGGAAACAGTGATGGTACATAGCTCCCCATTCAGAAGCCGTTGTTACAGGTCAAAGTACAGAACATAGCAGCAACCAAGCCTGGTGGGGGATCACTGAGAGACCTCAGCTTCAGAGATTGCTAGTGGGCAGGTCTCTTGTTGACCTTTCTTACCCAACACTGCCTGTCAGAGTGGATATGTCATTTGGCACGTGTACATGTGTACATTTATACTGCATGTAAGCTTGCAAAAAAGTTTTCCCTCA